CAGGAACACATTTATCCAGTTATCATCCAGATCCAGACATAGTGCACAATGTGACTTCTTTTCCTCATCCAGCCACTCCACAGCCTGCATGGAAACATGGAGCTATTCTGCACTAGATGTGAAACCTTGCACATCTCCTTGTCCAACTTCCTAAAGCTTTTACTGACTCAGTCCTCAGGTTTATCAGGGTCCTTCTGGTTTAATGCTCTATCATTCAGTGTGTCAAGCACTGCTTTTAGCTTGTCCATGTAGCCAGTCCCTTCATCTTGATGATGATAGGGTTGAGTGTTTATGTGTAAGAATCAGGGGGAAGGCCATCATGGAAGATACTTGATGGCAGCCTGTTTTACAGACCACCCAACCAGGATGAAGAGGCAGATGAAATATTCTATAAGTAGCTGGGAGAAGTTTCACAATTGCTAGGCCTTGTTCTCCTGGGGGACTTTGCAGATGTCCACTCGAAATACAATACAGCCGAGAGGAAACAGTTTAGGAGATTCAAGGAACATGTGGAAGATGACTTCCTGACACAGCTGGTGAGGGAGCCAACTATGGAGGTCGCCCCCTCGACCTTTTGTTTGTGAACAGAGAAAGACTTGTGGGTGATGTGGCAGCTAGAGGCTACCTTGGACAAAGCAATCACGAAATGATAGTTTTCAATTCTCAGAGAAGTAAGGAGGGCGGTCATCAGAACTGCCACGTGGGACTTCCACAGGGCAGACATTGTCTTGTTTAGGATCCTGGTTGACAGAGTCCCTTGGAAGGAAGTCCTTGAAGGGCAAAGGACTACAGAAAAGCCGGATATTCTTTAAGGATAGAAGTGGAGAAGAAAACCAGCTTGGCTGAACAGAGAGCTTTGTCTTGAAGTCATGGAAAAAAAGAGAGGTTATGCAGGGAGAAAATTAGGGGGGGCAAAGCCCAACTAGAACCTAATCTGGCTGCTATAACTAAAAAATGGTTCTGTAAATACATTTGCAACAAAAGCATGGCAAAGGACAATCTTTGTCAATGATCTGGATGAAGAGGCTGCATTTTGCTTGCTATTCAGACAGTACCTTACTGAATTAAATTCATAAAATGAAAGAACGAAACACCAGAATGCCTATCAGGTGGATTCACTATGAATCTTAGGTTGTCACATTTAACCATATATTCCAAATTAGATGGAAGTAAAATAAGAACAGAAAAATTTAGTAAAGATAGAGTCATAGTGAAAACAACACTGAAAGATGCTAATAATTGAGTGCTTTACTGAGGTGTCCAGACAGCTGAGACTTCAGTGTGAGCACATTTCAGGAAGAGCAAGGACAAAAGTACCTCATAATATATGCAGTTATGTAGTTACTGCAGAAGTATTCGCTCATTAAGATAATACAGAAAAACAGCAAATTGGTTTTCTACTGGAATGCAAGAAGATGAGTAAACGCTTGTTGCAGAACGGATGTCTCCCTAAAAAGTGAGCCATATGCATACCTCAGAGTGAAGGAGAGTCTTCAGAATATTCATTAAAGGTATAGTATTTTGAAGTATTGATCAAAGCATTTAACATTTTACATGAGCTCAAAGAATGTTACTTGAACACTGTTCACTCCTTATTTTTCAGGGGTTCCAAAGCATGAACTAGTCTGAAGTACTTCAAAAGTTCAGACATCATAATTGCTCACAGGTAGTACAGTGTGGTATCCCAGTATCATATTGTTCTGCATGGTCTTTACCTGTAGGCTGGCTTTCTGATAACCTACCAGATTGGATTTTCTTTTTTAGGGTATTTTACTGTATTTGTGCTTTTCAAGGCTATGTGCTGGACTGCATTCAGGGTTCTGCAAGGTGAGTACAAAGTCCAGAAGCTTGACATATTTCCTGTCTCTTCTCCTTTATTTCATCACATTCCTCCACAAGTGAACATATATTTACAGAGATTATATACGGAGATGGAAAGGACAGTTTTAGCTTAGAAAAGGTAGTTTTGCCTGCATTGTTTGAAGAAAAGTCAGAAGATTCTGACCAGCTGCAGTTACCTGAATGTGTATCAAGTCAAGAAAACATTTTTTTCTTAACTCCAGTTTGCAAGCCACATAGAGCTAAATTTTAATGCTGTGGCACAGTGATTATCCCAGGTATGACATTCATTTCCAGACTACCAGGTCTGTCTATAAGCTAAGTAATGACTTCTAGCTGACAGAGATCTAGACAGTACAGTCAGTTGAGCCCAGTGAAATCTTTAGCTGACTGCTTTGTCTTTAGATGCCCACTTTATGGTTACTTGAATACCTTTCAAACAGCATCAATTAAATTAATTGAACAGGCATTCAATGAAGTTGTCCACATGGACATCTAGTAATGTATGAGGTGGTAGAGGATGTCCAAAACATGCTCTTGAGGATGGCAGGTAATAAGGAAATTTGTAGAGCACCTGTAACCTGCTGGAGCAGCAGCTGGAAGCGAAGCAAAATATACTGCAAGGCATGGCACGTGGCACTAGCCCCTTCTGTGCAACCATTTTAATTCTCCACCAATTGTTAGGGGAGCCTGGACACATGGATCACATATAGGCACTGAGGATTAGCATGTAAGTGTAGGTGTCTACAGTAAGAAAACAAATCCTGTTGTAGACTTTGGAATTGATAACTGTGCAATTATGAAACCTTCATGGCACCTGCCTTCTTTTTCAAAAGTCCTCAAAGATCTGTGACACAAGGTGTCTAAACAGCTGAAACAAATCCTAAACCAAAAGGATAACAAAGCATGCCTTTTGCTAAGAATGAATACAAGGAAGATAAAGGCACTAGCTCTCATAAAGTGGAGAATGCTGGGAGCCACCTCCTTTTCAGCACAGCATCTTTTTGTGGTTATTTTCTGAAAATACAGAAAGTTTATTTGCAGTTACTTAATAAAAATTTCTGATCTCCATGCTATACACCTGGTGTTTCATTATTTCTCTGTTGACTTCAGTAGGAGTTGCAGGGCTTCCAGAAATTAAATGAGGCAATGGATATAAATACTAAATATAGATTTAGTAGGCAGAGATCATAGACAGTTCTGTCTTTCTACTAGTGTTATCCTTTATGCATAACTGTTCTATATAGTATACTGCTAAGTGTATTTTATTATACCAATAATAATCAAATAAGCCATCTTGTGCATTAGTCAGGTCAAGAATTTGTTGTTTTATTTAACGTTCTCCTTTACTGTGGACACTGAGAGTTCATGTAACTTTGTATTCAAGTAACCTATACGCACACATGAAAAGTTTATGACAAAGTCACTTTTTGATATCAAGAAAATAATTTCAAGTTGTTAAAAGCAGAGCACAATAATTTATATTTATAGGGAAAAAAAGGTAAGGTACCCCCTTCTGTAGACAGGAAGCCTGTCTACAGAAGTTAGACCCCAGAAGTTTCCAATTGTCTCTGCTAGGAAAAGCCTGATTGTCATTTTAATGGAGTTAGATAGGAAATAATTTTCATCTGTTTGGTTTTTGATGTTGTGGGTTTATTTTGTTTCTTTTAAGAAAATTACGCAGGTACTCAAATAATATTGCTGGTGTTCTGGCAGTGTCATGTAGTATCATCCTCCATAATATAATACTTAAAATCTATTAGTATTAAAATATACATGATTTAGCTAAGATGAGCTGTGTTTTATAAGACATACAGTGATTTACTTAAATGGCATGATGCTTCAGTTTAGTGTAGTGTAGCCTAATCTCTTCTATAACAAATGAAGCACAATGTGATTTTCTAGCATTTTAGTATGATCGGCAATGATGACACTGACAAGCTTCTCATTTTTGTTCCAGATCTCACTTTAGATCCTCACTCACATCATTTGCATGTTTCAATGCAAAAGAATGAGAAATAGTGGAGAAGAGTGAAAAACAAAATCACAGTGGTGACAGAATATGCCTGGAACACCTTTTGCCATCAAGCATAATCATCTCATGCTGTCAAGGATAGCATTTAAGACAGCGGACTGGGGAATAGAGTGGTTACTCCAGTAGCATGGAGGTTTTTTTGTGGGTTTTTTTTTTTTTTATGAAGGATATTAAGTTCATTAAAAACTGTGAAATATTACCAGTGGGTCTTGTGTTTCTCTGAATGATTGCATTACACAAAAAGAGCAATAAGATGTGCACCATTTAAATTTAAAAAATTCAACATTCCTGGAAAGTTAAAATATATTTCTAATGGTGAAAATTCATTTTTCAGCCATCAGAGAGTTTGTGTGGGCTCTTTCAGGGGAGACCTCTCTCGTTCTTGAGCAAATCCATTTCATTGTAGCCATCAAAATAGAGATGTGCATGCTCTATTCAGCTGTAACACGCTTGCTAACCAACAAATACTCACTTCTGCCAAAAAAAAAGAAGCGTTTGCCAAAATTCAGCAAAAGCAAAATTAAACAAGTGAGCAAACAAGTGAAAAAAACCACACAACAAAATGTTACAAGTTCAAAGCATTCCCAGAGAGCAGACATTTCATATTACAGGATATCAGCAATGTGCGACTTTTCATTTCAAAACACATATGGTCTCAGTCATGTAGAAGAACACTCAAAGATATGCTGTAAGCCTTGATTGTATACGTAAACATTTTGCTACATACAGCTGTGAAAGGGAGCTGCCTTAAATGACATCTGCACTTGTAGTATTCCCTTCTTTATCACCAAGAAGCTGGTTTTACTGATGGTGCATTGCTTGACCCTTTTCACACTTTGTGAAGTCTTGAGAAACCATAAATTCTACCACAAACTGAAAAAAACCTCATAGATGGCCCTTGCTAAGTCATGGAGCAGATCAATCAGATGACTGCTTATGTGGCAGAGTGGGGCCCATTGCCTTGGAAATATGTTTTCATGGTAAGTACATTTCTGTTTATTGTTATTGTCTTTTAAGCTGTGCACTTGCTCCCCAGAAAGCCAAGCTGACTTGTCTGAACACACTACCTCAGAAATTACCATTTATACTGAAAACACTATGTCATCATCATTATATTTCTTCCTAGGGCCTGCACTAGACAACGCATGCTGAGCGGATCCTTTGAGGGGCAGCCTGCAAAAGAAAGGTCAATCCTTAGTGTCCAGCATCATATACGACAAGAACGCAGGTAAACGTGGACAGAAAGGATGGGTTTAAATTCTGTTAAAATAAAGGCAACGAAAAGAGTTAACATTGAGCAATACCTAATGTGTGAAAAACTGCCATTACTTGTACAAAGAAGTGAATTCTACATTCTTCATTGTAACCATAATGAAATTCATTGTACTACATAAATGAAAAAAAAGTGCCTTTTTATTTCAAATGTCATTTCCTTTGCCAACTACAAAGCTATCAATTTAAAGATCAGAAAGAAAGAAATTGGCTTATGTTAGACTGGATTGAAAACAATTGAAGAACATATAAGCTTCTGATGTTAGCAAGAGAAAAATGATAAGAATTTGAGATATTGTGTGGCTGGAGATCAGTGCTTTATAATGGCCATCTTATAAAGGTCAAAATTTCATCTTGAGATGTATCATTAAATTGATTATGATTGTTTCAGGTCGCTGAGACATGGTTCCAACAGCCAGCGAATCAGCAGAGGAAAATCTCTTGAAACATTGACTCAAGATGTAAGTCCCCATAGAAATGATAGTTTGAGAATATAAGAAATAATACGAACATGTACCGTATAATAAATGCTTGTGTAAGGCTAATGTCTATTTATGATCTTGTTTACAGTTTGTCTTTTGAAATCTTGACAGGAAATCATAATATAAATACCATAACTGCATTAGAATTATCTTCAAAATAATTGACATGATTATTTCACTGATAGACTTAACTGATTTTGAAACACTTGCTGAGACAGATTCACTGAAGCTGTGGGTACTACGTTAGGAACACAACAGTTGCTACCCAGGACACCTTAAAAAGCCTTAGTCTTGAATTACACAAATCACTCAGACTGGAAAAGCGGCACTTCGAAATTCTAATGGAAGTTTAACAATATTTTTCAAACACCAGGACTGTCAGACAAATGAACAAAGACTAAAAGGGAGAATAGTAATCATGGATTCCCCTGTGGTACAGTTTCCTGCAGTTAAGTGCATTTTCCCTTGTGCTAATTCATAATGATATTTTGTAGATCTCTGTGACTGCGATAATTTAAGGGGCAATATTAGGCCTTCCATTTCCAAATAATGACAGTCATTTTCTAGATGTGCTTCATACCTAAAAACAACTGCGTAAGAAGTAACTAATTAATTACCCTGCATGGCAGTAAAAAGAAGCCATAGGTAACTAATTTTTTTAAGTAGGTGTGGCTTTGCTTGTGTGCAGTAATAAGGGCAAACCCCAGAACTGCCTCTCCAGGAATGCTCCAAAGACTCACTTTGAATAGTAGTAGTGACCATATCCTCCACAGAATGAGCTCAGATGATGTCCTCTCTCCCTCTTCCCTCTCCGTGAACTAGTAGTCGCCACCTGTATGTTCTGCACAGCTAGCTGCCTGGCAGCACATCTAGCAGGCTTGAGAAGCCGAGATGGTGTCTAAAGCTTTTTCTTTCTCAGTATTTGCCCTTAGTAACTTTGATGATACTCATTCCAGTTCAGAGAGATTGGCTGAGCTTACAGGACCTTTGCTTTTAAAGTTAGAAGTTGCATTGGATGGGGCTTCAAGCATGAAATTAAAACTGAAATTAACCTTGATGAAAATAAGCAGTCTTGTGCTGTAGATAGAAAATACTGTACAATATGCTTGACTGAATTGGTGTGTGGTGCATTTGGAAATAAAGATCTTTTCGTTTGATTCTTTCTGTGTAAAATACCGTATCTTGCTTTCATCTAAAACATTAAAAAAACAACCCACAGACCTCATTTGAAAGGCATTTTTTTGCTTCTAGCACTCCAATACAGTGAGATACAGAAATGCACAGAGAGAAGACAGTGAGATAAAGATGATCCAAGAAAAAAAAGAGCAAGCTGAAATGAAAAGGTATTTAAAAATTTAAAGTCTGAGTTCACACTTTTCCATATTAAGTATTCTCTGTGTGGAGTAAAATTATTGAGAGTCATGATGAAAGAAGAACTAAGTGTAAGGGGTATTTTTGCTGGCTATAATGCATCTCACTTAATAATTTACATTGTCTTTCAAAAGGAAAGTCCAGGAAGAGGAGTTGCGAGAGAATCATCCTTATTTTGATAAACCACTTTTCATAGTGGGTCGTGAGCACAGATTCAGGAATTTCTGCCGAGTGGTGGTACGAGCTCGCTTTAATGCGTAAGTTTATTCCACATGAACAACTGGTTCCAAGTGTTTACTTTCATTGTAGGGATTTAGGTCTAACTTGTACTTTGGAAGGAAAACTGTGTATATTGTGGTCACCACACAAGCTGGCAGTCAGCTGCTAATGTTGTAGTCTTGCTGTTGGAAGAACAGAAGCAATGAACTGCTGTGTAAGGGTGGAGATGTTTGAGCAATCTGTGATACTGAGATGGAGCAAGACCTTGGGGAAACCACAGGAGAGGAGAAGCTCATGTTTTATACCCCCATTTTTAGATCTTGGGAAATCAGCTTGCTGTTCCCTTCCTGTTCCACATCATAAGGCAGAAAGTCTTTATACACCAGCAGTTACTCAAAGAATAAAGGTGAAATGAATCCCAGCTTTGCTCACCTGAAGACTCCTTAGCCGATAATTAGAGACCCAGAATAGGACAGGGAGCTGTTCAGCTGTGGGAGACAAAAGGAGAAAAGCTGAGGCCAGATGAACGGTGAGAAGACTCAGTAAATAAACTGTAGGTGTGTGCAAGTGTGGCAGATAGAGGTCTATGTACAAGAAGCTTGATATAAAATCATAACTCTTCTTTTAAACCTCTATGACTGACACCCTAATTTTGGAGGGTAATGCTTTGCAAACAGTGTAAGACAAAAGATAGCTCAAGGCTATGAGCTTGGCATTTGGCAGACCTGGCTTCAGCACCTGCTTTATTATTGATTTTCTGTGTGTCCTTCAACAAAGTACTTATAGGTAGAACAAGAGACAGGTTAGATACTCAGATTTACAATGACCATATGCAAGTGTTCTACATAGAAACATGTCCTTGAGTTAGATGCCTACTTTTCTGTGCAACTGTTAGCTTGATTGTGATTTGCTGGCCCATGAAGCAGTTGCAAATTGAAACAGCAAAACAAAACACACAAACATACATTCCAATCCACTTGTCAAATACATGTCAGTGCCTCTTAGCATTGTGGAGTGCCCAAGGGCAACAGGATATTGATATTATCAACAGTTTAATTAAAATGTGTTTGTTTACGAGAGTGCACTGATTTTGGTAAAGAGTCTTTTTTTTTTTTTTTTTATTTTAATCCTGCTTACTTTATTCATTGTCCCACCCAGCTTGCCAGATACTCTGGATATCTTTTTCAAACTGGTATGAATCATATTTTCTTCTTGTAAAAAAAGGCTGAGGAATGCCACTGTATACAATGTGGGGAAGAGATGTAAGCTTAAGAAGACACAAAAGGCAGTGGGTTCAGTGGGAAGGCACCAAAACCAGTATTTTCTGTTTATGGAGTAGCGTAAATGAGTGAACCTAGCACATGGAAGATGCCTCTTGTTCTCCTTGTGTGCATTGTGTGTTCTTGTAATTTATAACCATGAAATCTCTTCTGGTGGTAATGCCTCAATTCAGGTCAGTCCATTTTTCACTTTAACTTCAATGAAGAAGTGACGGCAAATTCCCATTCCAGTAGCTAGAGCCCTCAAATGGAATATAGGATACCTCAGTGCAGATCTTGTCTTGGCATGATATGCTACAAGGATTTGAAATACAAGTAAAAAGCCGCCCTAAACACTAGGACAGGGGAGACTTCTTGTAGCTTCTGCTGAAGCCATTTGGCTTTTTATAAAAGGTCTGAAAACTGCTGGAGCAAGAACTTAGCTTGTGTTACCTAGATATGTGCTCACCAGTTACAGAGTGGTTCTCACTCTCTCTGGCTACCTAATGGGTGTCTGGATATGGTAGGTGAAGTGCTGCAATTTCGTAGGACAGTTCAGATATGAAGAACCTAGTAATAGTAATCATAAAATAATGGAAGAAATAATGACAGAAATAGGGTTTGTGGAAGGATTTTTTGAGTCTACAGAGGATACTGTCTGAGAGGTTTCAAAGTAAAAGAACTCCTTGGGATAGTACTTTGGGATGTGAAATTCAGTAGCAGGTTATCCCCGCAATGCCCAAGCAAAATACAAAAGAAAATTCTTGCTTACAAAAGCAAGATCAAAAAAGCTATCAGTTCAAAGAATCATTAGAGGAATTGCAGGCAGGCCATGAATTAAAGTGATAGTAGCTCTGCTGATAATATGGCTGAAATTGCAGAGAATTAAATGAAACTTACACAGACATTTAAAATTAAGCCAAAATAAAATGTAGCCTTGATTTTGGTTATAAATTACTTTGAGGAATGGATGCATGGTATAACACTGACTGAAATAAAATGTAAATGACTGTATCTTTTCTTCTTTTTATAGTTCTAAAACAGATCCTGTTACTGGAGCTGTGAAAAATACCAAATACCATCAGCTTTAGTAAGCACTGCAAAAGTAACTTTGCTTGGTCACATAAGCCTGCAGTATATGTGTGTGAGCGCACACATGCATGTATGTGTGTCTGTGTATGCACATGTGTATTTATTCTTTTTTTTCCCCAAAAGGTTTTTCTTTCAGTGGAGCTATATGGGGAGGAAAATAAATAGGAAGAGGATTTTTTATCAGGCTTTTCTTCTTCACTTGCATGTAACTTGCCTACTTTTACAAGGCCTTTCTGAAATATTGAAATCTTTGACACTCCTCAGTTTAATTTATTTTTCATAGGAAAACACTTAAATGTGGTATAGACACAATACAAGGGACACAGCACTTTTGGCATTTCTGTAATGTTATCCTTATGTATTGTTCACAGTGACTTGCTGGGTTTGGTTACTTACCTGGACTGGGTCATGATCATTGTTACGATATGCTCCTGCATTTCCATGATGTTTGAATCCCCCTTTAGAAGAGTCATGCATGCTCCAACACTCCAGGTACTGTCACTGAATCATTTTACATGTAATGAAGCACAGTCCCCTGGTTTTCTCCACACTATTCTTAAATTAAAACTCTTCTCTGCTTTGATTTCAGATTGCTGAATATGTTTTTGTAATATTTATGAGCATTGAGCTTAATCTGAAGATTATGGCAGATGGATTGTTTTTTACACCAACAGCTGTCATTAGGGACTTTGGAGGAGTTATGGACATATTTATATATCTTGTAAGTTTTTATATTCATGGGGGGTTTCTGTAGTGTTCTTAATTTTGGTATCTTTGGAGATACAAATGTTTGGTAACATTAAAAAATCTGGCTCTGCACCCTGGTGCTAATGCAAGAGTGTAATTTGTGTACAAACACCACTGTTTTCATGTGCATTCCTGTCAGTTATCTGTATAAATACATATTTAGACATCTAAAAAGACACTGACATGCGATAAGCACCTGACAGTTTACTAAAAGGCCATTGTATGGCCCCTTTTCATTGCTTATTTGTTCGTATTAAGTATCAGACCCAATTTCATTCCAAGTAAGCTCAGAATCCATGACCTTGCTTCAGTATTTTTATGCAGGACAGTCTTTATTTTATCTATTTCTTAGCCATTCATTGCTTCCTCCTTTTCTTGACAGTTCTCCTGCTTTATAGAAGGTATTTCAAAAGCCTTTAGTGTTTGACAGAAAGGCACGTCCTTGTTGCTGACATTGCTATAGCAGGAAGAAAGTGAAGTAGTGTCTTTTTATATTGCATACCTATCAATAGCAGTTCTTAGGAAAAAATATTCTGTTTTCTTTGTCCCCCAGAAATTTCTTGCATTCCATTCAAATACAAGAGAAGGGAATCTGTTTGCTCTTCACATATGACAATAAACACCACAGAACGTGTCAAAACCAGTGCTCAGTATGATACAGAATATTTTCTAACTGAAGAAATTACTAAGCAAACAGTCTGTGATGGACTTAGATTAAATCTTTAAGAGATTAATCCGCCAGACAGATGTGCTGCATAAAATTTGTCATGATCAATTTGTATCACAGATTCCATTGTTAGCATAAATAAAAATATGCATGCTTGTGCAAAACTCCTACTGTAGTATGCATAATCAGTATGTGCATTAGTTTCTTAAAATCTCTCTGAATCCCTCTGTTTGTGTGAGGGAAGATTTAGATGCTGTACCTTGGATACTCCAAGTGTGCCTGTGGTGGTCTTAAAAGAGTATCAAAGTCAGAAGCACCGGCAAATCTTTTTGTTTTGATAGGGTGGCTGGTTTTTACCACTGTTGTTTCTAACAAACTGCACTATGTTTTAAATCATATTGGTGATATCAGCTTCATCCTCCATTTTTTTTCGTTCATTTGCCTCTTTGCAACACTCTCACCTCTATCCCCTTATAATGACATCGGCTTTATAAATACTTTTAAAAAAATAAGAACTAATTAACAGACTTTATAATCAGTAACCATCTGTTAGAGATTGTTCAGACTACAGGACACAACTATGCTGTTTGAAAACACTTTTGAATGCATAGTATTTGTTTAATAAAACCACACAGTCACAAAACCAATCCCTGTAACAAAGCAGTAGGAAAAACTGGTGAGGAAACTGTTAACAGACTTTCCAGGTGACGATATCTCAGTTTCAGGCTGAAAGCTCTGTTTGAAATGAGAAGGGGGGGAAAGAGATGATGCTTCCTGCTCCAAGAATATAGTTTCGTCACTTCGCTGAACCAGCCAATTTAATATCGCCTTTTGGATCTGTTCAATCTGCTGCAAAGTATAAAATAGATTTTGAGTCAAAGGAGAAGACAGAGGATGAAGCTGATGCCCATCAGTTAGGACAGTCAGCCAGGGCACAGGAGATACAGTCCTTTTTCTAAATTAGACACTTATTTTGCTGTAGTCTTCCCTTTAATTTTAAGGAAGTGTTTATTATCTTCTATGCTGTGTCTATGTCAGGTAAGACATTGTAGCCCAATCCTTCTTTGTCTTCTTCTGCCCCATCTCCTCAAGGTGAGTTTGATATTCCTGTGCTGGATGCCCCAGAACGTCCCTGCCAAATCTGGAGCTCAGCTCTTAATGGTACTTCGCTGCCTCCGACCTCTTAGAATTTTCAAACTGGTTCCTCAGATGCGGAAGGTGGTGCGAGAGCTGTTCAGCGGCTTTAAGGAAATCTTTTTGGTATGTGCCCATTGTTTTTTTGTTGTTGTTAAACAGAAGATACTGAGGAGTAGTAAGATGCCATTTCCCTATACTGTTTATTTTTTTTCTAATCTTTTCTTCATTGTTGCTTGTTGATTTTTTGTTGTAGCTACCACTGGAGATGACCACAGAACAGATTAAATATTAGGAATATAAGTAATTTGCTTACATTTATACTGAATAAAGCTGCTACAACAATTCTTCTATAAATCATATTATCAGCATGTCTTTTTCCATAATTACATTGGATGAGGATTATGAAATAAAATCTATCCCTTATTCACAGTTCTAATTGGGGAAAGAAAATGAGAAGTAGGGTATGGCAGCTCTACAAGAGCAAAAGTAAACCTGGTTTCTGCATTGAAGGTCTACCTCCAAGTATTTTGAGAGGCAACCAGAGACAATATAGTTGTTCATTACACATCTGGATACCATTGTTATTTCATTGCTGTCATTATTATGATCGCGATTATGCTCTTATAGTAATATTAACAATAATGGAGTCTTTGATTGCTTGATCAGAACCTAATCTATTGTCTGGGGAACATATGTGATATTTGTCAGCCTAAACAACAGACATTTTGTTCCTTAACAGAATGCTGTATTGCATCAGGTTGTTACAAAAATCTAAGCTACAAAATACTTGCAGACAGTAATAAAGCAAGGACAAAAAGTAAATAGCTATTTAGCATTTCATAGATTCTGTATTCTATTGAAGATATTTATATTATAATTGCTAATGCATATCTTTACTGTAGCTATCATGGAATTAAATATCTAACGATGGCTTACTCAGATTAATTCGTAAAGCCTGATTCTGCAAAACAGAAGCAGCATGTATTCAAGTACCTGAAGAGTTATCTTTAAAGTGAATGGCAATTCTTACGCTTAAAGAATTTAGCAAGGTGGTACACTGAGTACAAGAAAGCTTTGATCCTCATCTGCAATTCTTGCATGTTATGTTAATGCTAATTACTACACAGCACCTGGACACCGGATCAGAACCTAAAGTAACATGTCTGTCACAAAATCCATCTCTCCAGGTTTATCCAACAAATAGATCCTCCCTGCAGTTCACTGAAGGAGCTGACCCCTTTTCCAAGTCTTTAGGAGGAGAGCTTGACAAGTCTAACTTCATATTTACAGGTTTCTATTCTGCTGCTGACATTAATGCTTGTTTTCGCAAGCTTTGGAGTGCAGCTGTTTGCTGGAAAACTGGCTAAATGCAATGATCCACACATCATCTCTAGGGTAAGAACTGCTTTTCTGCTTCAAAATAACAGTATGCTATCATATGAGAGATGGAAATCTTGGGCACTTCCTTGTTCGAAGCAGGATGATGAAGGGAAAGGTGTTAAAGGAGTAAAAAGTAAAATCCAAATATTTGGGACTGTCTGAAAAAAAATATCAAATTCATGCCATGTTATATGCAAAGGACTAGATGTCACATGGAATTATCCATGGAAAATGACACTTTGTATTCCTAGGTCAGCAGCTAAAAAGCAGATTAGGCTTCTAGAGGTCTCTTCTTAGAAGTCTCTTCTCTAGAGGCTTCTTACTCAATTTGAAGAAATATCATCATCACCTAAAGGAGCATTGTTTTTAGGAAAGATGAGAAAAGCTAGGTAGTCTTGCAAAATGAAAGGCACTCTCTGTCCTGGAAGAAGAAAGCGTTTTTGAATCCTTCCTAAGATGCATTTTTCATTTGGGTAAAGGTCCATAACTGCTAATCCCAGACCTATAAATAACCATTCATTTCTGTTTACATTGCTTTTGCATCATGGGAAGTGTGCTGTCTATACTGTCATTTTGGCAGATCTTACAGGCCATTATTTAATCTCAGGCTGTGTTTTATTTCACTATAGGAAGATTGTCATGGCATCTTCAGAATAAATGTAAGTGTTTCCAAAAATCTCAATTTAAAATTAAGACCTGGAGAGAAAAAGCCTGGATTTTGGGTGCCACGAGTCTGGTGAGTTGCTACAGATTGGCCTTTTTTTCTTCAAAAAGGAAACTGATGATGTAGAAAATGGCTCAGATCTCATAGCATTAAATTACTGATGGAGGGGTTTTATTGTAAGCCAAATGGTATTATACGTAAAAATTCTGGTACATTTAGTAAAAAGGCAGATATGCAAAACTTTTCCAGATTTAAGCTGCTCTTCTATTCACAAAGCAGAAAGGAAGAAAACACCCTTAGGTACTGAACCTAAATAGGAATTAGATGTGATTATTATTATTACATTGGGAGTTATTGTCTTAAACCAAGATTATTGCTTAATTGTTCTTCAGTACTATCATGAAGACATCCTGAGATCTATACATCATCAACAAGACCCAATAATTAATATTAAAAGAAAGAAGAAAAAGAAATTAAAATCAACCTGCCTGCAGCTACCCATAGAATCAATGAGCAAGTCATGCCTAAAACCAGCCTTTCTCTACTGTGGCCATCAACCATGCCAGCTAGCAGCTTCTTTCTAGCAGTTTCCAATGCAGGAAGTCTTTGTGGTCTGTCTGGTGCAGAAGTGTGGTAAAAAATATTTAAGTGCTAACATTATGATTTGTATTCTGATAAAGTCCATTTAATATTTCCCAACACCTGAACAAGCAAAAAAACCCTCTTTTTAATTGTCTACATTTTTTAGTTGGTTGACATTTTGCAAAATCAGCTTAACAGCCACAATTATTTTAATTGACTGTGTGTGGATAAAGAATGTACCAGCGGTGGTAGATTCAGAGCCATCCTACACTAATGAAATAATATGCTGTGATTTGAATAGGCAGTGAAACTCTGACATCTGCAGAAGTCTTTATTTCTGTATGCTTAACACAAATTCTTCCACAAGTAAGCAAATTCAATCCTCTTCAGATTGATCCAGAAGAAAGCGAAAACTGTCTTAATCAGCATAACTCTAAACTTTGGGGAATGTTTTGTTACTGCAGAAAAATGTTCTACTGCAAATGCGTTTATACCACCTGTTGGCTGTGTCAGGCCAGGTTTTCAAGAGCCAGATGTCAGTATAAGGACTGCATTTAAAAAAAATATCTACATCTGAGAGCTCTTTTCATTGAATGGTTGGATTTTCACAAGCACAAGATAATAATTATTCTCAAATACAATTATTTACCTTATAAACTGTTGAAAATTAATGGGACTTATTATTAGCTTATGTGTCTTGGATTATAGAGACAGAGCAATGTGCTAACCTAGCCCAAAGAAGATGCTTTTAATTTTCAGCTGGAAACATCCTCTTGAATCTCAGCTGACACAAAAGGTCAGAGCATATGGTATAGGAAAGCCAAGAAGATGTGATGTCCTGTCAGTAATTTTTGCTTTAGACCATCAGTTCCCAGTGATAATGAATAAGGAACAGTGTTTTCTAAATGATCTCACTGACTTTGGAGTCTGAATCATTTATGGGGGTTTGAGATTGGTCCTCTGCAGGTAAGTTTATTTCGGAATCTGGTCAGTGCCATTGGATCCAGTTTTTTCACAAATACTGTATTTTTTCTAAGATCATCGACAAAAACACTAAAATGCAGCAACTTGTTACAAGCTTTATTGCTGTGAATCAGATTCTGAGTGAGAAAATAAAACATACATAGCGATCAAAGAAATGATGCTGTACATGTTTATTGTTGTTGCTACTGTTCTTATGTTCTTGAGACAGAACTTTGAACGATATATTTCAGAGGCTTTCACACCAACTTTGCAAGGTATTTACATGTTAGACTATGAAGAATCAAGGTAAGCAATAGAACAACTTTGTTGCTGAATTTATGCTATTTGTGTTACGCATTTCAGGGCAAATCCTCGGAATTTTAACTTTGACAATGTGGGGAATGCAATGCTGGCACTATTTGAAGTTCTTTCATTAAAAGGCTGGGTGGAAGTCAGAGATGTTATTATTCATCGTGTTGGGCCGGTAAGAAAATACATCAGTGTTTTTGAATTCTACAACACATACTTTGATTTGTTTTAACTATTCATCTTATTTTTATCTATTCAGATCCATGGAATCTACATTCATGTTTTTGTATTCCTTGGCTGCATGATTGGACTGACTCTTTTTGTTGGAGTTGTCATCGCTAATTTCAATGAAAACAAGGTACTGAGTAGGGCAGTTTATTGTGTGTTGAACTGGCTTTGTAAGAAACCTGAAACTGATATCCTATTATGTTGTCTGGTAAGACCGCCTTTAAGACTGACTTACAGTCTTACAGAATGTAAGACTGGAAGTATAGTTTCAGACAGACCTGATCCATATTTACCACAATACTCAAGCCTGGGATGATAGCAGTCCATCACACACTTTTTCAAAGCTGTCTGAGTTTATTTGCAATGCAGCCATGTTACCAGATGGAAGTTGAACCTAAAGCACCATGTATTTACAGACACTCCACATTCTGCTGCTTTAGTTTGAGGTAGGTGTCAGGTAAAAAGACATCTTATGCTTGTATGTGTTACAACTAATGATGTCTCAACAGAGATTGGAGTATTTCAGATCCAAAGCAAAGCTGTATGGCTTTTTTCTGGCAAACATCAGAGTAATTGTAAAATTAGTTGTCCATCACTCAAGCAAAAATGTGGCTAGTGTTCTAGGAACTGCAGCTCACATGGGCTTTCTGGGTTACCCTGGAAAGTAAAAAAACCTGTCCCCAGATGAATTGTTAAAGAGCAGCTCATGTCTACACTTGTTAAAGATGGCATTCTCTGCATGGGACTGCTGCATACACACTGCACATGCCTTAATCCGACACTTCTGGTGTCCCTGTGGCACTAACATATAATTATTCCTTTTTTCATCTTTCAGTTCAAAATCTGAAAAATAATTAGATGTTTGCAGTTATCTACAGTGATATTTTAGCACAGTGGCATTGGATGAAAAGGATGATTGTGTGCTCTGGGGCTTGGAGATGCAAGATAACCGAGTCTGGTAGTGCTAGAGACCGAGTGCTGGACATGGCCCTGTTATGGCACTGAACCGAACTCTGGGGCAAACACAGCTGTTGAGTTTGCTCGCCAAGGAAACTACGTGGCTCCTTCTGGAAAGGGCCCGAGCAGCACATTACTCTGCATCCACTGTGAGCAAGCAAGGCATCATGAAATGAAGTCAGGCATATTGCAAGTGAAATAAATAGCCTAAAACCTCTGCTGTTCAGAAGGTACTTTTATGTTTGCATGACTCCAGTGTACTTTTGGTGGGATGAAGTAGTCATTCTTGTTAAATACATCTGTTCTACAGAACAAGGAGCAATGTGCTATTCATTTTCTTTCTTATTCACTAAATTTTGACTAGTGAATGAAAAAATATGAACTTTTACCAGTATAAGAATTCCCCTGGATTTTTATAGATGCTTTTGCCCCTTCCTGTTCAGCTGTGTAATGTTACTTCCTCAAATGTGTCAGCCTTACACTGATGAATAAAAATATCTTTCAGCAAGTCTTGGGGGGGGGGGGAATAATTAATTTAAATTACAGGTAATCTAAAGTACTATTTGAAATTATTAAATTATTATAATGTTGTTCATCTATAGCTATGATGTATTCAGCTATGTTTCTGTCATGTTCATGAAGCTCTACTGAGATGTGAGCTGAGCACTTCTATAAATTGTTTTTCATTTACCTCTACGCTTTCTACACAGGCCGCTTTCCTCAAAAACCTGTTCATAGGCATGAGTGTAGGAGAGAAGAAGAAATATCACCTTACAGAGTCTGCTGTTATATAGCTTTTGATCATGGCTGTTCAAACCCTGTTTGAGGTGTGGTGCATACAGTGTCAAGAAGTGAGGAAGTGGGGCATTTCCTCTTTAGTTTTGAATGTGGTCTTGAGTGTGTCTGTCGTGAACTCTGAGCCAGATCTGCAAGCAGTTGAGAATCATCAGGAGCCACTTGCTGCTCTGGGTTGCTTTGCTACACCTACAGGCCTCTACTTTTTTTTCCACTGTCATAGAAAAAAGGTACTAGAGGAGCTGGATCTTTGCCCTTACTAGCATGACTAGCATCACTTTTATGACAGTGAGCCAAATCTCAATGCATGCTGTCAATCTTCTAGACACTGTTTTTGCTCTTAGTTCCCACTCTTTCCATAGAAGTCACTCGCAAGATTAAATTTACATTGTCAACCTGGCTCCTGCAAAAAAAGCATGTGAGATCTCATTCACAAATTAGTGAGACATCATTAAGTCAAAACTCGCTATTCATCTGCATAGTCAGCTCTTGACTATGGAATAAGGTGATCAGAACACAGGTTACTTTTGAAGTGACTTACCCACAATATCAGTGTAAATCTTTCACCAGTTTTTAGTTTGAAACATGGACAGGGGAAAAGTACCCCTAATTATGTGTGACTGTATAGCAGATTCTTACTTCATTCCCTCCTCCTAGATATGCAGCTTTAAAGTCACAGGACAGCTCAAATTAATGTGAAAGGTAGAAGTTTGCTTATGTGCACTGTGATTCTAAGTGAGAAGGAACAGGAAGGTGTAAACATGAGGCTTACAAAGATTGTGAGCACAGGAGATAACTAAACAAGTCATCCTAGCCCAAACAACTGCTGCATGAGCAGCCAGTGTAAATGTGGAAGTCTGAGTTGTAGGGCCTGAATTAGGGTTCCCATTAGTTTCAGACAGTTGTCAAATTTTTACATTTATCCTTCTGGGGTGGATTTCTCTGCTTGTAAGTTTTTCTCAAACTATGGCTGCCTTTTTAGTTATGAATGATCTCCTCCCTTAATTCTGCATCTGAATACAGGGAATGCATTCGTCTGAACATCAGGAAAGCTACTCACTAATAACAGTTCCCTGTAAATTACATTCAACAGCCATGTCATGCAGTATTTCTGTAGAATTTGCATGATAATAAAAATACAGTCAGTATAAATTGTTTGTCATCTGGTTCAGCTTCTTCAGTTGTTTCTTAGTAACCTCAGGTAACCGCTGTGGCATGTAATGTTTGGTTTTCTTTTTCTTGAGTAGTTGTTACTTTTTGTGCGTTTATTATAGGGAAAAGAAAACTTCTGATTTGAATTGAAAAGATTAATATATTAGTTAATTATACAATGGGGGAAATCTCAGCCCAATCAATATTCAAGTAGAATGAAGAAATTTCTAGGAACTGAAAGAAATGTGAAGTAAGATAAGAGAGATGACTGACATCAAGTCCATAAAAAAGAGAGCCAAACATTCCACTGTATGACGTTAAGTTCCCTCTTCTTAAAACTAGTTACTTGGACAAGCAGTAGGTGATTGAAGTAGACTTTGGCTATAGTGGCTGATACATGGGGGGTCTGCTCCAGGTTGTCAGCTGTCACAGCAACAGGGCAGAAGCTGGAAGTGTTCCATCACCCTTGCCCATTATTTGTCACAGCTCCCAAGTGCCACGTGTTCAGTCAGAACTGAAGATGCGAATGGCTCAAATATTATCTGTCAGTTTTGAGTTGAAGTCCAAATGCAAATGCAGCTCCTCCAGCAGCAGTCCCACTTATGGGGCTGTGTTCTCTGGTCCCCTTATAATCATCCCCCTGGTGGAAGTGGTAGTTTCTGAGCAAAAGAACAACTAGGCACCACCATTTGTGAATTTTACAAAGGTCCACTTTTTTTTGCCACCTTTTGTCTTGTTTGCAGTGAAAGCTCTCCAAGAACATAAACCAGACACCCTCACTGGGGTGAATCATTTGCCTTTTAATTTAGGTGTTTCTAAATGGCATGGTAAGGCCTGACACTAGCAATAGGCATCCTCATGTCTGTTGCTTGGTCCACATCGTGTTGGAAAGCACCTACTCCAAGTGTGCGGTGTGGGGACACAGCTCTATAAAGAGATTATGTCCACTGAGAGGGAGTAATCCTTACCTTATCAGTTGCACAGCCAGCTGCAGTTCCAGTATCTACAAAGCCAGTGCCCAGAGATCAGACCAGCCCTCAGTGAAGCTTCATGCTGACTGAAAAAAAAATCAATGAGATTTTACAGTTCTCTGAAGTCATGAGGGCCTCATTTTGTTTTCAAGGTCATTTTAAATAACACTGAATTCTGTTTGAGCTTTGCTTGTTTATTCCTATGTTCTGAAAACACACACATTACCATCTACCGCCTCCCACCTAAATAAAAGGTTTATTTTCCACCTCTTCTTAATGATTCCTTTATGGAGGGCTTTTGTAGATTCATAGCATACTACTATTTTATTTCAATTACACCCCAAGCAGAAGAGCTGGGGAGAGACTCGGCAGTCTCCTGGAGGGCTCATTCCCTCAGAAACTGTAGTGGTACTGATGAGCTACAGGATTTTCTGCCGCAAAGTCCAGACAAAATTGTCCACTCTTTAAAACAGTGCTTCTTGGCAAACGATGTTCAGTCAAATGGAAGACGTCCTGTGGTGTTTCCCTGCCCTCACTGGGCTGCTGCTACAAAGAGCCACAACTCAGCCTGCTGAGTTGAGTCCCAGAAACTCACAGCTAATGCATCCAGAAATCCTCTTGAGTAACAGCAGATACTTTAGACCCCTTTACCCAAACAGTGTATTATTTAAGGAGAGCCGCATATGTAACTTTATGCCAGTCACCAAAGTGAATGTTGTTTTCATGCTTACAGCATTCAGTGTTCTAGCTTTTATATGATAAAGCTTTATACGCTTCTCTTTGTTTATTAAGGGGACAGCTTTACTGACTGTAGATCAGAGACGATGGGAAGATCTGAAAAGCAGACTGAAGATAGCACAACCTCTTCATCTCCCACCTCGTCCGGGTATCAAAGATATTTTGGTTTTATTCATGTTGTGCCCTAGTGTTCGTAATTCCCCAGGAGTCTGCGATTCAAATTAAAATTGTAATCGTGAGGCCACTAGGAGGTTGTGCATAAGTTAATGTGGAAACAGGCTCCAACTACAGATCTCTGAATAAGGCTATTAAAATCTACCCCAAAAAAGGTTGTGCTTCGATGGTTTTAGGATAAGCCTTAATGAAAAAATTATTTTCTAGATGAAAAATATTTGCAGTTGGCTGTTGATAATATAAATGGAACGTATTAACCTGACAGCGGTTGAATGATGCACTTGCCCAAAATGTACCAAAGCCTTCATGCAACACTGTGTTCAGTATTTGAAATTATATGTTCAGACACCCTATTTGATATGGAAAATTGTAGCAGAAAATTAGAAATGTATTTTGAAACTAGCAAAGGATTATTTTGCCACTAATGAACATGGAAAAGATGTCAAGAAATAGGAGAAAAACACCAGTATGTATTTTAACTTTCCTCCTCAAACTTTCTTTTTCAGATAATGATGGCTTTAGAGCTAAGATGTATGATATAACTCAGCATCCATTTTTTAAGAGAACTATTGCTGTACTTGTTCTGGCCCAGTCTGTGTTGTTATCAGTTAAGGTAATTGTGTTTCTTTTAAGCATTTCATTATAGTAGGATAGTGTGTGTTGTGCATTTCCTAACACTAATTAACGATCAGTTGAGCCCTTAATGTGATGAATGTACAGAAACATGATTTTTAGATACAGCAATCTCAGTTGGCACAGATCACTGTAGATTAATTAGAATTTACGGAGCTGAGTCAATTTCTGCCTTTCTGTAGTCTGGTCCCCAATTTTAATTTCCAGTTAAGTTGTAAATCTCTGAGAGAAGAATATACCAAGATGCCATTCCTGTCTGAATGTATTTTAAAGTGAAATCTATTCATTAACAAAACCTGCAAGAAAAGTTAAGGCAATTAAGTTTAAGCCAATTTAGTTCTGTTTAACAGCTAGTCTTCTGTGAACACATTTTGTTTGCATTTCAGTGGGATGCTGCAGATCCAGTGACTGTGCCTTTAGCAACAATGTCTGTTGTTTTCACCTTCATTTTTGTCCTTGAGGTAAAGTAATATATTTCATGACTTCTTGAGATTAAGACTGGTATGTATATATTTTATTTTGTCTTTAGGGATGGTCTCTCATTCTTTGCTATGTTTTTTATTTCTGAACATGTATATTTGGGACTTTTCATGTCATTTCTCTTTAAACGTGTATTGCAGAAATATACTTTTAATTCGTTAGAGCTTTATGTCCTTTTGTATATATTTGAATCTGAGCATTTCACCTTGTGTTTTGGTAAACCCAGTGAACTCTTTTCATGCAGAACATCCCAGATTAAATTCAGTCTGTACAGCACAGGGTTTTTGATGCCTCATGGAAGTTCTTCATCCATTTCTATTTTGCCTGGTGCATTAATACCAACTGTTCTGTAGCTGTGATAACATCAAACCTTTCTCAGGTTTTGGGGTTTTTGTTGGTCTGGGTTGTTTTTTTTAGTATCGTATCTCCATTTAAGTCCTTTTAATAAGCTATGTCAAATTCCAATATTGTGTCTCTGTTGTTGCATGTATCTGGATCCTGTGTGGTAACGATTCTCTATCTGTGAGAAAACCGTAACTACAACCAACTGTGCAAGGTGTACTTAGCCTATTTTCACAAGACTGGAATCTAAGGACTTAAACACTTTTTTAAAAGCGCTTTTATGCATAAGGCTATCTGTAGTGTAACAAAGCACACATTTATGAAGTTAAAGAAGAGCCTTCCTCTGTTGTTAGGTTAGTACACCGTTCTTCTGTAGGTTTGTGGTTATTTTTCTTTTCAGTTCCCTCTGAATAGCTGATACTGACCACTGTCAGAAACAGGATGGATAGTAGACTACGTTTCCCACTGCTCTAATCCAGTATGACAGTTCCTACATTCCAGTGATATGTTTTGCCAGCAGTGATGAATAAACAATGATGCGAATACCTTGTAGCTAGAGTATGTCCATGTTGTTGCTTCTTTTTCCCCTACCCAGGAGAAAACAGTATCTCTTGAGAGACTGAGTAAACACAGAAAAATTTGATTTGTATCATACACAGACAGGTTTTAATTTACCTAGTAACTATTCTTTAGAAATACTTTTTCCTTTTATACTGCCAGGGGAAACAAATGCTCTTCTAGAATTTCAAAGGAACTTTGTCAGAGCCAAGAAAAAATTGTTGACTGTCTCAACAGGCAAGCTATCACACTGAGTGCACACAATTTATGGAGAGAGGAAGCAGCTTCCTGCCCAGGATCTTTCCTAATGCAGCATAATCTGGTTACAGAGTCTGTTATATATATGGTCCGCTATCACTAGCAGCCATGGTCCATGAGGAAGGCCAAAGATTTCTGCATAGCTAATGGCCCTGTGTCCAGTCTTAAGGACTCCTGATTCAGTCTTAAACGCCTACATCAGTATATGTGGTAAAGAAGAACAGGAAGAATTCAGAGGTCTCACTTCTGTTACCACACTGATGATCACAGAATAAAATATGATTTTTTTATTTGCACAGTGTGGTACTCAGTTTGAGATTACAGACACCTGAATTTAGGTGTTTTAATTCTACATGCGAGGTAGATATTTAAGCTGTCACTGTGAACAAGGGAGTTGTAGGGTGGGATTCAGTTACCTAAATAACTAAAGGCATCAAAAGCTTTTTGGGGTACCTGAGCTTATCTCCCCTTGCCTGCACTAGCTGCTACAAAAGGGCAAGGATGTTTGCAGGTCTTCTGTCATCCGTGTCAGCCCCACACATCTATCTCCAGTATTCTAGGGCATCTTTGCTGACTTAGTAGAAGGAGGCAAGATACCTTCAGGTACCTCAAGTGAAAATTAGAGATTCAGAGACCGTATTCTTCATCTCGTAGTCAGGCTTCAGAAAACAGTAACATGGAAAAAAAGAAAAAACTGGAAAATCAACCTTTTACATCAGACTACTGTCCTTTTATATGCGGTTTTGGTTTCAGGAATGTAAAGAATACTGCTAAATGGCAATGCTGCAAGGTGGGAAGGAAAAAAATCATGTAATGAATGTCTGACATTTATAGCCTTTATAAAGTAACACTTGACTTGCTTTGAAGTTTAATACAAACTGTGTATGAGAAACTCTAAAGTGTTCCTTCCATTATCCCACCTCAATATCTTTTAGCTGTTGTAACTATTTCTTATCAGTATCTAATCTTAATCTTCCTCTCTACACTCCTGTTACCTGAATTGGAAATGTCAAGCACTTTGGCTGCTTTTACCAGGTACATTGTAAAATGCACTGTCTTTGCAGTTCTTAGCTTTCTTCTCTTACATCTGCTGAATACAGATGATGCCGGGTACAGACTGTTCTTTATGGCAAGAAAAATTTGCGATATGGGAAACCTTTTCAAATAATTTGAACTACAGGTGCTACAGAACACAATGTGCTTATGTGATTTTAGCCTCCTTACAGACAGCTCGCTAGATAGGATACTATACTGTACCACTTTTAGCTACGTATTATTGACATAATAGTTTTCCAACTTCATTACTTGCTTATCTATAAAAAAGCTTAAACACAGATTCACCTCAGCAATCTGTACATTAAGAATTCACTCTAAGGTGATCAGCTGCACTCCTTCCTTCGATCCTTGATGGAGAGAGAGAGAGAGAGAGACTTCCAAAATCCTGTGCATCTCCTGCTTTTGGTCATCTGTAGTCTTCCACAAGTACCAGTTTTCCTCCATCTAGCAGCCTAACTTGCCCACATGGGAACAGCCAGCTGACATGAAACCTGTCTGTGGCTGTTTGAAACTATTTCATAAGACAAGCTCAATCACACATTTTAGAGAATAGAAGAGGTTCTTAAAGCGAGAAATCATTTCTTTAGTACAACTGAGAAATTGTTTTTATTCATAGGTCACGATGAAGATTATTGCCATGTCACCTGCTGGCTTCTGGCAAAGCAGAAGAAATCGGTATGATCTCTTGGTGACATCTCTTGGAGTTATATGGGTGATACTTCACTTTGCCTTACTGGTAAGATCTACAAAACAGAGTTCCCATGATTAAGCTTGATTTTCTTTGTTAAGCATCAGCAGTAGTATCACTGCTGTTCATCCACATAAATGCTTGGGAGGTTTATAAGGCTGAGATAAATTAAGCTTTATGCTAAGAAGAAGGAATCACTGTCTTTGGCAATGATGATGTACAAAAGTTGTCTTACTGATATGAGGTAAAGTCTGCAAATATGGTAGAAAACTGAAGTCTTTAGGAGGGATGTGAGTGAGGAAAGAATATGAAGAGATTGAGAGCTCCTGCCAACAGCAGCCTTGGGAGCATCAAGGAAGAAAGAAGCAGTGTACAGAAGTCACACAGCAACAAAGGACAGGCAGAAGGCATAGGTTCAAAACTGCTGAGCAATACAATCTGTCTCAAACCCAGCAGTGATTCTGGACCACTGGTTTTAGCTAAGGGTCAGTGTTTAATCCAGGAAGGCATGGAGGAAAGGGAAGGGAGTCAGCTCTCCCTCTGTCCCACCCTCATTTTTAAAATTTGGCTACACACTGTTTCCCTCATTTAACAAGGGAAGGAGAAGGGATAGTTGATACTTGTCATCAATTGCAAGTTGCCAAAGTCACAACCCTATGATGCCTGCAGGCTTCTCTCTTGTCTGCCCCCAAGCTCTGTTCAGACGAAAACCTGTCATGTGTGACTTGTCATCTTGCCCTGACATTCACAGTTTGCTCCATGCTACTGAGTCGCTTGGAAGGCCTGAAGAATATCTGTAAGCCAGCAGCTGCCTAGACAAGTAGACTGGGGCTGTTGGACATAATTACAGCCCAGCTAATAGACGATTGCAAGTTTTTGGGTTTGATGTATGGGGACGTTGGATTAGTGGTTTCGAAGTGGTAGAGAATCTTCTGCTAGTTTCTTACTACTCCACTGTTACTGAAATATTAGTGCTCATGGTTAATGATTTCTCTTGTTTCATATGGCAACTGCCCTACATTATTAAAAGACCAGATATCATGATATTTTCATGAGATCCCTGGGGTACATCTATTAAGTCTTCTGTGTTTCTGTTCCAGAATGCGTACACATACATGATGGGGGCATGCGTAATTGTCTTCAGATTCTTCTCAATTTGTGGGAAGCATGTAAGTATAAATTAGGAGCTACAACCACTGTAGTGCTCATGTATAGATTAAAGGACTAGATGCAAAGGACTAGATGCTGTGTCTCTAGTGCAAATTCTGTAAGGCTCCGTTTTATATGCCAAAAAAAAATGAGACTTCAAGCAGCAGCCTCCAATTTTACATGCTGTCTTTAAAATGTCAGGATTTTAGGTATATTTTACAATAGCACTATGTTACAGTTACTGGAAAAGCTTCATTTTTTTGCAAAGATATAAAAAGTGCAACTGCAGTGCCATACAGATTTTAAAAACACTCTAAAACTCTGAACTAATATTGTGCTACTTTCAGTCCTTGCTACTGGTGTGATGTGCATGTTATTTGCTTATTTTCTCTGGGAGACTAGTTGAGTGGTGGTTAAGGCTCTCACTACGGTAGTGCTCTCTTTTAGAAGTTTCTTCCTCCAGAGTGCAGGTTTGTGTCTTGTGTCTCTACAAAGTATGTCTTATCACAGTAAGGAACTTACATTCAGTTAGAAAAAAAAAGTGGGCCAAGATACTCCTCTGGAAACACTGCCATGGCGACAAAGCAAGTCACTTCTAAAGTTTGTGTTTCTTTTGTGTTTGGATTTGCTCTGGTGTAATTGAGAGTAGGTTGGCAGAATAAGCATAGGCAGAGAACAAACACATTTGTTTAACAAGTGGTGACACTCTGTATGCTCTTGCTGTAGAACTTCTTAGGCTATCCAAACATTTTCTGTGAAGTCTGACATATTAAAGTAAATGTGATGAAAAGCCTGCTGTACTAGGTTGCCAGGGTTAAGAACAGTAAGTCAGAGGGTTTGTTCAGTAAAGATTAAAAGTTTTCTTTCAATCAAACTACACAGAGCCTGTAGAGCCTTGGAACTCAAATGAAAAATCCTTGCTTCTTCTATGCAGTCAGACCAAGTGATTGCCTTCAAAGCCTTCTGATTGATTCTGAAGTTTTTTCAAGGTTTTAACCTAGGCACTTGTGCTTTCATGTTAGGAGCTGTATCAGTTTCACTAATGTATCTGTTGTGATGCAATTTGATGACTGAAAGTCAGCATGAGTTATCAGTTTGGCATATTTCTAAAGAAAACTGCTACCCTCAGTCCCATTGGAAAGAATTTTCCGTAACATCCAAAGTGGCTAAGTGATTAAGACAATAATAAGAGTAAAATGTACTGTATGTATGTATGTATGGGAAAGTAATATTATCTATTATCTAGGCCCACAGCCTATGAAATTTCCAAAATAATGCTCTCTTCTTAAGCTCTTTTGGCCAACTTGTGTGAGAAATTACTAGTTTAATCAAGCTGTGCTGGTCTTAAGAATACCTCTTTCCTATATATCAATCCATTCTTTTAGGTAGGGTGCAGATCTGTGGTTTCCACGTAACAGCATCACTTTCAGATAAGCCCAAAGTAGTATACTGCTCTGTTCATGCAATGCTAATTTTGATACTTCTGGAGCACACTGATCCTAGAATATTATAGTTAAGCTTATGCTGTATTATTGCTGTGTTATCCTACACTATTATCCTATACATATTCTTTGAGGAGCAACATATGGACCTTGCAAATTAGGCAGATATGCAGATCTCTTTAACAAGTAAAAAGCCCACTACATTTCAGAGGACACAAAATGTTCAATTCCAATCAGATTCATAATGTCTCCTTTCACTGGGTTCATCCATTAGTATTTATGTGTAAAGAATTCATTGTCAAAATGGCAGCTGCAGTAACGGTCTCCCCTTTTATCTCTGCTTTCCTTAATGGCGTCATTGACTGCTTCTTCTCTGTCCTTCCAGGTGACACTAAAAATGCTACTCCTGACTGTGGTTGTCAGCATGTACAAGAGTTTCTTCATCATAGTGGGAATGTTCTTACTGCTTCTTTGTTATGCTTTTGCTGGAGTAGTTTTATTTGGTACAGTGAAATATGGAGAGAACATTAACAGGTACAGTACATACTTACTACCTCATGGGGATGTTCTTTAAACAGCCTGAAAAAATTACATTCTGCTAGAGAGAAGTTTATCTGTGGTAAAAAACAGGCAAGTCCCCAGGTATAGCTGAAGAGCTCTAAACAGAATTTCCGTTAGGAGACATGGAACCGTCTTTCCAGTTCTTGTGCCTCAGACCAAATGACACCCAATCCAGCTCAGAGCAGACCTAGAGCTATTCTTCATTATGCCAACTGGAATATGCTTCAAAGCAGCACTGCACTAGCCGCAAGCTGCTGAAACACACAGTACCTACTACACCTTATCAGCAACACCCAATCTATATATCAGCCTGATACAGAGAGGTAACAGTTCTGTGAACTGGATGTTAACTGAAGATTTCCCAATCAATAGCATCATCAGGCTTCAGGAAGAGAATGGAGACAGGAGATAGGATCTGGCCTTAAGCCTGTGTTAGATCTTTGATAAAATGAGACAAAATGCTGAGACCTGCGTCTGAGCTAGAGTTCAGCTATTATATCTTGAGTTATGGAATAAATAATTCAATGAGCTCATTCAAATAATTCTGCAACTATTTTTTAGGCTAGAATAGTTGAGCAATAGAAAATGGAAATTATTTGCATTTATTCTTGCCAACATTTTAGTTCTGGGATGTGAAATGATCTCTCTTATTCTTTCAAACAGACATGCAAATTTTTCATCAGCTGGCAAGGCTATTACTGTACTCTTCAGAATAGTTACTGGAGAAGACTGGAACAAAATTATGCATGACTGCATGGTAAATACAATACTGCCAGAAATAAAGCAGACAAGAAACTGGAGACATCCTTGCATCTCAAAGTATTTCCAGTATTTTAGCTTTGTACACGGAATGTTGTGATTGCCTTTATCCCCTCAAGAAAGAATAATGGTCGCTAAACCTCAGAACATGGCACACAAATTGCAGTTCCAATCACACACTCACAGTGTAATATTTCATGGGGCTAGGCTACTACATGATTTAAAAACAAAAATAAAATGATGTTTTAAAAATCAGAGGTGCAGTTAACTCATTTTTTCCACTATTTGCTTTGACTGGGGCACAGTGACTTTTCAGATTAACTTTGTCTCTAATGTCTACACTTTGGCTTATTCACTAACTGGGAAGCTTTAGAGAAATTAGAGTCATAAGTATTATATTATTGCAGAGAAACAAAAAGTCTCTTCTTATGATTGCTTGACTTTGTTTCCTTTTGTTTTGAAGGTCCAGCCTCCATTTTGTACACCAGATAACAGCACCTACTGGAAAACAGACTGTGGAAATTATGCTGGTGCTCTTATGTATTTCTGTTCATTTTATGTCATCATTGCATACATCATGCTCAATTTGCTTGTTGGTAAGTGAAAATACACATTAATAACAGAAAGGTCCATCTTGGCACGTAGTATGTTAGATGCAAGTCTGTTGTGCTATTCAGTTATGAATTCACTGTTGCCTTATATGCATATGTTGGTTTTGATACTTCTCTGGTGTATGCTAAAACTCAGGATGTTTGGGGATGAAGGTTTTTGTTGTATTTGTATAGTTACCCTAAGAAGTACTATTTTCTCAGCTTTTCCTTTGTGCAGTTAACATTTTTCCAACAACGCTGGAATTCATCTAGTTGATAATCTGACATCTTCCAGTATCAAGCAGGTGAAGATGTTAGATTAGGCATCTCACCAGCATTTACGACACACTTTTTAACAATTGAGCACAGTGAATACTGATGTAGCACAACAGAGAAGAGGAGACTGAGGGGTGACCTCATCAATGTTTACAAATATGTAAAGGGTGAGTGTCAGGATGATGGAGCTAGGTTTTTTTCAGTGATGTCCAGTGACAGGACAAGGGGCAACAGGTGTAAACTGGAGCATAGGAGGTTCCATGTGAGCATCAGGAACAACTTCTTTACTGTGAGAGTGACAGAGCACTGGAACAGGTTGCCCAGGGAGGTTGTGGAGTCTCCTACGTTGGAGATATTCAGGGCCCGCCTGGACAAGTTCCTGTGTGAGGTACTCTAGGTTACCCTGCTCTTGCAGGGGGGTTGGACTAGATGATCTTTTGAGGTCCCTTCCAACCCTTGGGATTCTGTGATTCTGTGATTCAGAATTCTCATCTGAACATACAGCTGAAGACATTTATTAATGTGAAGTTTTCTCAACAGAATTAATATTGTGATGAAATCCATTGCTGCTTATGGAAGTTATCCTGTCAGAAATTAATTACAGGCTTTATTTTGTTTTTGTGGTTTTCAGCTATCATTGTGGAGAATTTCTCCTTGTTTTACTCAACTGAAGAAGACCAACTTTTAAGTTATAATGATCTTAGGCATTTTCAAATTATATGGAACATGGTTGATGACAAAAGAGAGGTAAGAAACTTAACAATGTGCACAGAAATCCAGTAAATTTTCATTTTTCCTTGAAAAAGTATATGGGGAAACCAAAGTGTGTTGACAGAACTGAATGAGCAGTTACTGTTCAAGTTCTGAAAGTTCAGTGAGCATGACCTAACATTGTTCATGACGCTTCAAATACTGACCTCTATTCTTTACTACTGTGAAGTAGTTACAATAGTAGATTTAAAATCAAATGTAGCTAGCTATTCATAGAATCAATACAATACCATCTTTCCTCCCAGCTCCCTGAGAGTTTTTCCCCAAGAGGTCTGTAGACTCATGTTCATTTATGTGTCTGATCTTCAAAAGGGCTTTGCTGAGATCTTGGCATTGTGTCCCACAATATCCTCCTAGAGAAGCTGATGAAGTATGGGCTGGATGAGAAGACGATGAAGTGAATTAATAACTGGCTGAATGTCCAGGCCCAGGGTGTGATGATCAGCAACACAGATTCTAGCTGGACACCAGTAACTAGTCATATACGTCAGGAGTCAATAGTGGGTCCAGTCATGTTCAACATCCTCATTAATAATCTGGATGATGAGGCAGACTGCATCCTCAGCAAGTTTGCAGATGACACCAAACTGGGAGGAATGGCTGATATAACAGAGGATCATGCTGACATCCAGAGGGACCTCAACAGGCTGGAGAAATGGGATGACAGAAACCTCATGAAGTTCAATGAGGGGAACTGTGAAGTCCTGCATTTAGGGAAGAGCAACCTCGGGTACCAGTACATGCTGGGGGCTGACCATCTGGAAACAGCTTGGCAGCAAAGGGACATAAAGATGATGAAGGGACCGAAGCATGTTTCCTATGAAGAAAGGCTGAGAGATCTGGGGCTGTTCAGCCTGGAGAAGAGAAGGCTCAGGGGGGAACTTACCAATGTATATAAATGCCTGAAGGGAGAGTGCAAAGATGACACAGCCAGGTTCTGCTCAGTGGTGCCCAGCAACAGGACCAGAGGCAAATGGGCACAAGCTGAAACACAGGAGGTTTCCTCTGAACACCAGGAAAGATTTTTTTCACCATGAGTGTTACCAAGCACTGGCACAGTTTGCCCAGAGAGACTGTAGACTCTCCATCCTTGGAGATACTCAAAAGCCATCTGGACATGGTCCTGAAAAACTGGCTTTAGGAGGCCCTGCTTAAGCAGAGGGGGTCAGCCCAGGTGACCTCTAGAGGTCCCTTCCAACTCCAACCATTCTGTGATTCTGGGAGGAGAAGAACATCTGGGAAACTTAGCTGTTCAGATGCCCACACAAGTTAAATCATCATCTGAATGATTCACGACATCACTAAGATTTTAATATGAACAACATGAAGGAAGTTGGTTGGTTGTAGCTGGCACATGGCTGTGCTGGAGGTGGAAGCTGCAGTCTGTACTGATGGAGGTGGAGAGTTCTACATCCATCATGCCCAGCATTGACAGTATCTCTCTCTAATGTAGAACAACACATTACAGCAAGAAATCATTCCAGTCAGGATCATTTAACAGAACAAAATATTTTAGAAGTATGGATACCACAGTTTCAGAGGGAAACACTGTCAGTCCTAAATTTTGACAGCAGATCAAAATTGTCACATGAAGAGCAACACATGCTGGGTTGACTCTTAGAGAAGAAAACCTTTGAAAAACTAGTAAACTCCCAACATCCTCCTCTGAAAAGCTGCATAGAGAAGGGGACAGGTTTACAACCAGATATAGGTCTGGCCCTGAATGTTTAAACTGTAGTTTAATTTCAGGTTTTCAAAGGCAGCTCTTTGGGCATATGATCCTCATTACAGATTAGTGCAAATGGGGAAACTAAATCCCTGAGCAATTTTGAAAATTTCTGGCAAAATTAACAGCAGAGTCTCATTGTATATCAGTCAAATAACAGCAAAGACTTCTGTGAATGTGCTGAAGAGCTGGCTGCATGTGTGTATTTTTCAGTAATGTATTCACAGTGTCTTAAATATGCCAGGATTTGATGCAGAGTCTGTGCAGAAACAGTGTTTCTCTCACGGATCAAGTTGAATGTCTGAGCTGATTGTTAGGTCACAGGAATAATTTACCATCTATTACACAATTTTACCCAGGGAGTAATCCCTACCTTCCGAGTGAAATTTCTGCTGAGGCTTCTGCGGGGCAGGCTGGAGGTTGATCTTGACAAGGACAAGCTGCTGTTCAAGCACATGTGCTACGAAATGGAGCGGCTCCATAATGGTGGTGATGTCACCTTTCATGATGTGCTCAGGTATGCTGAGATTTTTCTCTAAATCTGGAGAACAGGTATGACAGCCTGTTTCTCTCCAGGCCAGCCCGCACTCATTAGGCTTGGGAGGCAGTGCCATTCTGAGTGTAATACAAAAATTGTATTTCCCTCATTTTCCTGCAAAATATTAGTGATGGAAAACACAAGTGCTGGGGAATTAGCTCTAAGTAATTTTAACATTTTCCTTGGAGACAGTTTGTCATAAACAGCAGCACTCACGTGTTGTTCTTGTATCCCAAGAAATATTGTTCTCGCACGTGTAGCAACATGACAATGAATATGACTAGAAATAAAACAGAAATGGGAACATTATCGAAGCATAAACACTTAGGGAAAAAAAGGGGGGAATGAAACCACCACAGATTCCCTAGTTGCTTACAGTTCAATACTTCACCTGTATTGGATAACTACCTGTAGTTGATAAGGTTTTCATTTGTTTTGAGCACCGCAAGTCTTTTCTCGAATCTGGAAACCTCAAATGTGAATTTATTGCATACACCTGAATTACGTATTTTTGCACTGAGGTGTTAAGTATGAGATTTGATTTTCTAAATTAAAATGTAAGGTCACCAGCATTTAAAATAAAAATTAAAAAGTCGTGTTTCTTCCAGCATGCTTTCATATAGGTCTGTTGATATCAGGAAGAGTCTGCAACTGGAAGAGCTGCTTGCTAGGGAGCAACTGGAATATACCATAGAAGAGGAGGTGGCCAAACAGACCATACGCATGTGGCTGAAGAAGTGTTTGAAGCGGATCAGAGCAGTAAGTCAAGCTAAACTAGTCTCTAAATGGTTGCAAACATTGTACTGCTCAACAGTGCTGGAATTGGCTGTCACTATGCTTCATTTACTCTGGAGTCACAGTAATATTGATGTGAAGAAGTATGTAGCAGTTGCTAACTCAGCAAAAACTGAAAGTGCTATAAAAATAAGCACCTTGAAGGCAAAAACTGTCTTCCTGCCAAAAATGTATCTGTCTTTTCAATACAGCAGGAAGATATATATGAGGAGACCGAATTCAAAGAAATACATTAAAAACAGTGTAATTTGATGAAACCTCACAGGCTTAATCCTTCCTCGCAGAATGTAATTGTATAAATTTCTTGTCTCTGCTGGCAGAAGATACCATGATCAGTAACCAGCAGATGAGTCTTCAAATGGAACCTGTATCTAGACACATCATTTGAGTGAGCCATTACAGTAACTGTGTTTGCAAATGAGCAGGGTGTACATGTACATCAGGTGTATGAACCACGGCACACAGTAGCTGTGTCTGTGCCAGCAAATCAGACACAGCCAAGGCACTGGCTTATGACTGGAATGGGGCCAACCATACTTGCTAGCATGTTCCTCAGCACAGTTTTGGCCCATGTGTTCTCATACTCCCCCAGATCACAGCCATAGGAGCATCACTGCCTTTCAGGCATGGATCAGGGTAGAGCCTGCTCCCAGTATGCAGTGGTTGAAGCTTGAAACTGTCCTGTGTGGTAGATGGAAGATTAGGCAAGTCCTGGCCTAGCACTTAGCTTCAGGCCTGCAGGAAATCCCAGTCTGTTTAATTTACTGTTACAGACCGAGCCAGTACTTCTGTTTATGCAGTGCTTCTGGTCATCAGAAACATTTTTGCCTTTTCTTGGGGTAGCTACACTATATGCTGGTCAAAGTTTTTCTTGGACAAAATTTATATTGAAAAAAAAAAAAAATCCAGGAAATTTGGATAAGGTTTTGAAGTTATTCTTCTCTTTTGTTCAAAAAATAACTCTTCCTTTATATAACATGTCACAATCTGGTTGCACTGATGACTGATTTTTCTGTTACTGTAAGGCTGAGTCCAGAGTTTGATCCATATATTTTCCATTTTTATAAAAGCTTACTTCTTGTGAATGGAGGTTTTCCATAGAGATCTGTGATCATGGGATTTTTTTGTGTTTGTAAATTTATAAAAAACCATAACTGGACAGTTTGAATGTAATGTACATTCCAGATGAAATGTCAATTTTCAAGGCCTATTCAGATAGTTTCATTTTGATCTGACCTCTCTTATAATAACGGCAGTAAATTTAATCTCAGCTCTCAATTCCGGCTTTATTCAACTCTGTTGTTCATTTCATGATGATATTGAATTACACTATGTTAAAGTAAATATGCTATTCATTTCGCTCTAATAATATGGTTCAGATCATTTCACATTATATGAACCTTTTATAAACTGAATGTAATTATGGAAGTTAATATATCTTTTCAGATTCTGATGTTAGTCTCTAAGTCTCTCTAGAGGGAGCATGTGAAAACTACCCAGGAAAGTGAAACCCTTCCTAAGGGCTGTTTATTTTAATTTAAAAGCAAATTAGATTGTAAGATAATAATGGTAGTGGATTTGTTTTTCTATTTGTATTGTAAATCTATACTCACTCCCAAGGTTTCCACTGCTGTTTTATTCAGTATTACTGACAACCTGTTCCAAAGTTCATGAAAGAAATCAGGATTTTTTTCATTGCCTTCCTCTAATTTGTAGTGAATCTCTACCAATTAATTTTTCTTTTTCTTTGCAAGAATTTTTTACTCAGAAATTGAAAACTTTATGTGTTTTTAAACTCCATGTTTATACTAATAATTGAGCAACTTGATTTCCGCTTAATATAGTTTTAAGTTTTATCCTCTATTCCCTACATACAGGTTAGACATATGCCGGAAGTCACTATATTTAAATAGTGACCATCTGATATATGTAGTTTTATTGATGCATCTGGTATGCACATCTGGTGCTTACTGTTTGGTTAAGTATTTAGAAGGCTTTAAAAAGAATAAAACACTGTGGTACACCAATGAGAACATTTTTGTTGTCACATGTTATACCTTAACAGAAACAACAGCAGTCATGCAGCATTATCCATAGTCTACGAGAGAGTCAACAGCAGGAGCTGAGCCGATTTCTGAATCCTCCCAGCATTGAGACAACACAGCCAAGTGAAGATATGAATGCTATTAATCAGGATAACAGCACACAACCAGAGGTATGTTCACCATAAGACTATCACCTACTTGGAACAAATTCAGAAAGCTTCCATATTTCTTATTTGCTCATTTTTAAACATCATTTTAACTGGAAAAGTTTGTTCTGTTTCAGTCTTTGCCATCAGATGCAGAGGCGAGATGGTCTAAGGCAGTAAGTCCCCAGAATAGTTAGCTGCTTTGCTAGCACCATAAAGGGCAAACTCAACTGTACAATTCTGGCAGCACCAACTTTCAGCTCTATAATGAGTTGTTTACAGGCTCAGGGATGTGAAGCTTTCCTGTCCAAGCATTCTGAATGTTTACAGAGTGATAACATTGGGCATGCTGGGTCCTTTGAGTAGGAGCCCTGGAATTTTCCAGGGTAGGGAATGAAGTACTAGGTACAACATAAGGACTCCACTGTGAAAGGCTGAGAACAAGTTTGTACCCTTCAGTGGGACTGTCTAATGGATTGAGCCCAAATGGGGTGTGGGGAGGGTGGAGGGGGTGATTATTTTTTTCCCTATTACTAGTAGTTATCTGGGGCAGTAAATGGAAGCCATACTGCCTTAACAAATGGCAATGTATTTTGTTTGTATTCATGTATAAAGCTTGGAAATAGATTAGAAAGACAACACTTCTTAGGATAATCCCCATGCAGTAAGAAACTATGACTAAGATTCTTTCTTCCTCTGTTCAGACAAGTAGCCAGCAGCAGCTCCTAAGCCCAACACTTTCTGACAGAGGTGGCTATCGACAAGACTCTGGAGATGCTGGAAAACCTCAGCGGAAATTTGGACAATGGCGTTTGCCGTCAGGTAAGTGAAGAATGTTTATTAGTATAGTCTCCACATGCCAAATCACTGCCGTACAATAACAAACCATGAGAGGCTTCATGATTCAGAGTTCTATCCAAGCAGCAAGCGTGCTGCTTGGACCCACATGAGGGTTTTTCTACACTCATGGATGATAAAATACAGCAGTCTTTCCTCTTCCTTCAAATTCTGAAAGTTTGGAAGACTGGCTCAAGCATTACCATATACAGATGGTTGGGATATTTTACTTTTTCAAACATTTACTCAGGATCTTTGGATTGGGGCTGTACTGTCACATTTGTTTGGATAGAATCTTGTGCATTTAGAGTTCTCTTTTATCATAAAAAGCACAGTGCAAATGAAGTTTTCCTAACACCAGTAGTAACTTCTGAGTGCCTTGTCTTGCCTAAGCATACCAGGCACATGGTTTATACCTTACACCATAATAATATGTTATTATATCTTCACTTCATCCAGGAATTGGCCAGGTGTACAATCAGTTTTCAATTTATTTTGTCATACTGAAGTTATTCTAGTAACTGTAGTCTGCTATAAAATAAAGGCTAGACTATGCCTTATAGGAGGGTGGGAGAGGTGCATGGGTATAGCCTGACACCTTATGAAATGTTTATCTCAAGAGCACTCTCCATCACCCACCACCACCTGAAATAGTCTCTTTTAAAGCGCATAATGACTTCTGCTGACTGCACACTCATGACCAGTAGGTTAGGTGTGTGCACGTCAACCTGCTTTCAGCTGTCATCAGTTAGTCCTATTCCAAGTCAGAGCACTGCCTTCAAAGGCTGCCACTGTTCAGACCCTAATCACATCTAAGTGGAAATAGAAAAGTTGATCATGCTGCGAGTACCATCAAACGTGTGACCAGAGTACTTGTCCAAGAAACAGGACAGCTTAATAGAGAACTTGCAATCCATGTTTTCCACTTAAACATCACTGAGCAGCAAAGGTCGCTTTTTTTGGAACAGAGAGAAGGAGTAAGAGGGGGAGCACGCAAAGGAGGAATCGTACTATTGTAGCCAACTGCATAGGTTTTTCAAGTGAGAATTAAGAGTTCAGGATTTCTTTTCTTAGCACTAATCTTGGCCATGTCAATCCTAAATGTTCTTTAGTGGACAGTCTCAGAAAAGGAGGGTCACCTCCATGCATGGGACAGCCCAGCAGATGGTAAATACTCTGCCTTCAATCCAACAAAGGCATATATTTAAGATCATGAACAGCATCATTAAGATCAACTGTGGGTTTTATATACTTACACATGTGGTTTAGTGCTTTCCTAAAGCCATACCAGCTTCCACCCTTAGGCCACAATAAAATCATTTCCTAGGCATAGCTGCTGCCCCTAAATGCACTTTTCATCCTTTTTTTTTTTCCACTTACCCCTTTCATGATTTTGACAGCAGGTCAGGTTCAAGTAAGTACTGCCTAAACCATTCAGGTTGCAAATGGCCAGGTAAGAAGACATCAACTCCATCAGCCATCCCAGCAGGAGGAAATGAAGCACTGCTCAGTTAAACTGCTCTACCAGCAGATTAGTGAGAGCAGTGTGAACAGCTGGAGCTGGGAAAAAAAAAAAAAAACAACAAAAAACCAACCACCCTACATTACAACAGAGCCTTACTCTTTCTGCATTAAATCAGTTTAAAGGTGCCCCAGTTAAGCTAGTCCTATATGCCTAATTCTGCACAAAAACGTTCAAAAATCAGATCTTCTCTAATACAACTTTGTTTCATTCATAGCCCCCAAACCAATAAGCCATTCAGTGTCTTCAGTCAACCTCCGCTTTGGTGGACGTTCAACTATGAAATCTGTTGCATGCAAAATGAATCCCATGTCTGATGCTGCTTCTTGTGGATCGGAAGTCAAGAAATGGTGGACAAGACAATTAACGGTGGAGAGTGATGAAAGTGGAGAGGACCTTCTTGATATCTGAGAAAAAATTAAGTCATACTGCAACAACAACCACTTCAAGTACAATCTTTTTCTATGGTTAGAACTGAAGATGTGTGTGATGTACAATTTCTTTAAAATCAGTGTCATAATCAAATGCTCATCCTTCTGCCATATGAAGCATAGCACACACATGTTAGGACTCACCTCTATAGGTACTAACTATACTTTAAGAAACCTGTATACAAGAGCAGTATTAACAAAGCCAGAGACTTTATTGCCTTTAGCAGGCAGAGCGTTGAAATATTTCCTATGTTCTGTAGCTACATAATGAAAATGTATTTTGATATACACACCTTTGTGTTTTTCTTCAACCTATACCATACTTTAATGTGGCAACACTTTACAATACAAGGGTAATGTACTTCTTCTTTTTGTGTTTTCCCTCAGTTCTTTAGTAATGTTTCTTCAGATTTTATTATTCACAAATCACCTGAAGAGGTCAGCACTGACTTCATGTTCAAGGAAAGTTTTTTCAAAGTGAAGATTCTGAATTACAATCCTAAGCTTTTTCTGGACCTTTTTAAAAAATATGCAAAATACAGGATAACCCATTTTAAAATCAGAAGGTGAAGGATTGGCTTTCAAAATGTAAATATCTTTGAGGTTTGGTTAATTACGCAAAGAGCTTGATTTTCATAGAGAAAACAGGAAAAAAAAAAAGAAGAAAAAAAAGACATGAAAACTGTCTTGAAGCATCCAGCAAAAGACCTCCACGTGAAAAACATGGTTTATGCTTCATTTTCCGAATATACTGGTTATTCGTATGTATGGTGTCATTATTCTCCTGTTAATTGGGTCCCATTTTTTTGTGTAGTCATAAGATAGAATCATAGAATCATAGAATAGTGAGGGTTGGAAAGGACCTTAAGATCATCTAGTTCCAACCCCCCTGCCATGGGCAGGGGCACCTCACACTAAACCATCTCACCCAAGGCTTCATCCAACCTGGTCTTGAACACTGCCAGGGATGGAGCATTCACAACCTCCCTGGGCAAAATAACTTTGTTCATGTCTGTGTGATAAAAATTAGCATGTCAGGGGTTCTAGATACAGAACAGTATTGTATGGTTTTTAAAATACAGTCCAGTTATGCTGCAGAAGTGAATTTTACTTACCCATGTTACTACTCATGCTCCAGCCCCGCAAAGCTAAGGCATGACACTGTACTGTGATTAAGTACCTTTGTCTATTTTATCCTGGTGCATCACATTTTGACATGTTAGCCTTCTTTTATGTTATGAAGCATCAATAGTGCTACATTACCACTGGTGAAAAAAGCAACTATCCTTTCATATCAGTTTTTCCAGTGAAAGGCCAAGGCTATACAGATATGAAGGTGGAGAAGAAAAGCCACAAAACACAGAAGAGTTCATTAGTTTAAGAATTTAAGGCCCTCTAAAAATGTAGGATAAAAATGTGCCCTTCCATCAGGGAAGAACTAAGGTTGCAGATTTTGTAGCTCGGCCCCCGTCTGGGTATTTCAGCATAGCTGGGACCTTTCTGTTACCATTGTTTCCTATGGAAATTATAGGTTGCTCTAATATGGCCTGATGTGAGATCTTGTAAGAGGCTCACAGCTAATGTAGATCACCATTTAAAATATATGTCCTTTAAAAAGCAGACAAAAGCCAGTGCTCTGTGATGTTTTCTGGCCAAAATATTAACGTAGAGTGGTCGGAATACAGCACTGTTTTCACAAATGCCTTCACCATAAATGCAAGATCAGTTCTGGCCATAAAATACAGTTTTCTTGGCATCTGTCAGTGTTTTGTTCCCTGTGTATAGTTGAACATGGTTTAGATTTTTTTTTGCTTTTTAAACAGTCATATTGAACACATCTGTATTTTGTGGTTTTTTTACGTGTTTTGGGATATATTTAAGTTGAAATCTAGTCAATTGTAACTCTATATTAATAAATGTGTGCATTCTCTTGTTTACTAAATTAATAGCCATCAACAAAACCTCATATGCAAATACATTCCTTTGTGTTCTGTTTTGTGTGTAAGATGAGCCTTTGTATATATGACAAAAAGATAAATATTGGATTTATAAAATATAGTATCTTTGAAAGTTCAATAATATATTGAACTGTAGATCTTTCTGAATCATTCTTGCTGCAAATCTTCTTTTTAAAAAATCTGGCAAACATTTTTTCCTTGCCTTACAGTACTCTGTCAATAAAAGTGAGTTGCTTTAAGCAATATTCCTCCCTCTGGTTTCTATTCTAACTGCATTCGCTGTATCATCTGGGATTATGCTGCATAGTGGCTGGGTGTCTCATTTGTACAGGATTATTTAAAGAGATGCTTTTCAAACTCTAATTGGGGGCCTTTGGTTTTTTGGTGAGAAGTCCAGCAACCACCCTCATCAGTACCTTCCACAAGGGGTCTCAGTCAAAAAATGGGACTAAACAGGACTGTTCAGTATCTGGTTTTATTTAACCCACTTTGTTTGCTTTAAAGCCTGAATGTGAATATGCGTGCATGTGTGAAAGGAAAATCTGTGGTGGAAATATTGCAATGGGCTCCAGTATCTTCCAAAACTCTGGATCATAAGCTGGGTTCCAGTATGTTCCAAAACTCTGGATATCCCTGGACCATCCAATTTAATTAGCCCATTAGCTCTGAGAAAGCAATACTCACGTGTTTATTTCCCCATTTTACTTTTGCAGATATAGGAAGTGCAGTGCAGTTACAAAAATATGAAAATAATGTGTACTAGAGATGACTAGGTAAAGGTGAAAATGTCCTTAGTATGGCACCCCCAACATAACTAAAGAAGGTGATAACCTCCTACTCTGCAGCAGAGCAACCAGTGAACACTTGCACATGAAGGTGAAGAAGCAGAGAGGAGAGTTAAGAAGGACTGAAGTTCAAACAGCCTCTGCAAACAATGGAGAGACACAAAGAGGAAACAGTGCATCAGGAAATCATTCAGTCTAGGCAGCCTGAGAGAAAAGTCCAAACAAGAACAGGCCCTAGACAAAGGTAAACAAAAAAACTGCCAGGGGTATATTACTACCTACAGTGGTCCTGGCTCCTAGAATTAAATCCAGAGTTATTCTACACAAATGAAAAGAATCATAGAATCACAAAATCATAGCATGGTTTGGGTTGGAAAGGACCTTAAGATCACTTGGTTCCAACCCCTCTGCCATGGGCAGGGACACCTTCCACTAGACCAGGTTGCTCAAAGCCCCATCCAGCCTGGCCTTGAACACTTCCAGGGATGTTTAGGCTCCCTCTGTTCCATAGGAAGCAAGTCGTAAAAGTCTTCTTGGCTTAGGTGGGCAAAAAGTGTAGTGCATACTGTCACTGCTTGAATAAAAAACAACTGATGGGAAGTCTGAGAACATGCAGCAAAGATGCATCTCCATATCATTCCAAAGTGAGGTCAGATTTCAGACAATCACTTTTGAAATGAAGAAATTAATAACCTGAAGCCATTTGCTACTGGAAGATATCCAATTGAATTAAGAGCTAAAAACATAAAGTACGCTTTTATCTGGCAAGCTGAAAATACCATCATTGTTTTAACTAATGAGGGCTGATCAGGCTTGAAGATCTTCAAAATAACATTATATTCAGTATTGGCTGCATTCAAAGACAAGTATCACAGCTTCAAAGAAGCCAAAGAAGATTCAGATGCCAGAAACGAATGACTGACTTTGTGAGAACACTCGTTTTTGTTCTTTTATTCACAACCTGCCCACATCTCCTGTTACTGTGCAAATACGGATGTCCATGAATAACTGACACAGAAGAGTTCACACTATTGTAACAGTACATTTGGAGCTGAAGCAAGAAAGATGTCTAAAAGAATACACACTCCTTCTCCTGCAACATTTACACAAAGTAAAAGCAAACACTGCCCTGGGCTGTCAGTCAAAATTACCAATAGGATTACCTCAGTCTCCCTGAATTTAGCTTTAGGAGGCTAAATTCATTCCTTCTAATGAAGGCAATTTAGTCACACCACAGATAAACTTGCCACAATGCATAAGCTGGTACTGGGAAGTTGGCTGCCCTGGTTTGTTCCATTGCTCTGAAACACAAGGGAGCCTCTCTAGAATTCAATTAGCCTTCCTCTTCATCCCAAGGGCGCTATTGTCTGACCACATTAGCAGCTGTTGTCCATTGTCCTTAATGAAGAACCTCTAAGCACCAAATTATTAACCCATCAGTGAGTTAAGGCAGTGGCATTTTGTCCCCCTTCCACAGGCTCCTGTTTCAGATACTTATTCTAGCACCCTTTGTGGTTTCATATTTTTACCTGACTTGCGTATCTGCACTATGGGATTTAGGTGAATTACTTGGGCATCTACAAATGCATGTTCTGTAAAATGGCAGCTTGCTGCAAATGCAAGAAATGTCTTAAGTACAGGTAGAAAAGGATAAAAAAGAACCCCACTCCATTAGTCTGAAGAGCTGTTGACTTTATCCCCTTCTTTCTCCTGAATTCAAGCAGCAATCACCAGTGGTACAAGCCTTGAGTGTATTAGTGGATATAGCTTTGTTTCAGGAAAACTTTTGCTGAGGTTGGAAACAAACTGGTTTATACCACATTGTTTCCAACCTCTGCAGAAGTTTTCCTGAAACAAAGCTATATCTAACTGGTTTATACCACATAGACATCAGTGACTCCTAGAGACTTAGGCAGACAAGTTTTAATTATACCATCCAGTGACAGAAGCCACTGCACTGAGATTACTGTTTCTGAATACATTTATGTTCGACGGCAAGAGAAACATAAAATAGTTAAGTGTTGGAAAGGACCTTAAGATCATCTAGTTTCAACCCCCCTGCCATGAGCAAGGACACCTCACACTAAACCATGTCACCCAAGACTCCATCCAACCTGACCCTGAACACTGCCAGGGGTAGAGCATTCAAAACTTCCTTGGGCAACCTGTTCCACCCTTACAGTAAAGATTCCTTTTATCCAACCTAAACTTCCCCTGTTTAAATTCAAACCTGTTACCCCTTGTCCTGTCGCTACAATCCCTAATGGAGAGTCCCTCCCCAGCATCCCTGTAGGCCCCCTTCAGATACTGGAAGGCTGCTATGAGGTCTCCACGCAGCCTTCTCTTCTCCAGGCTGAACAGCCCCAACTTTCTCAGCCTGTCTCCATATGGGAGGTGCTCCAGTCCCCTGATCACCCTCATGGTGCTTCTCTGCACTTGTTCCAACAGTTCCATGTCCTTTTTATGTTGAGGACACCAGAACTGCACACAATACTCCAAGTGAGGTCTCACAGAGCAGAGGGGAAGGATCACATCCTTTGA